AGGCAGGAAGAAGAGTTGGAAACCTCCCCGTGGCCCAAGCGGGGAGATGCTGCCTGCAGACAGCCGCTCCGCCAGCAGCCTGGACCCATTTTTTTCCACCTGTGCCTGTTTTCCCAGTGTGCCAAAGCCCGCAGAAGCCCTGCCATGCCTCTGCATCGCCCTAGAGCCTCCAGCACCTTCACCAAGCTCCTAAACATCTTGAATTGCTGATATCCACATAGAACAAGCTGCTTTGGTAATGCAGGCTCAGGCATGTAGCACGAGGACACTCCATGAGGCACAGGGAGCCCAAGCGAGGTCCCCACCCATGGTGGCACGCTCCCAGCATCACCATCCCACCAGCATCACGGTCCCCGGGCAGCAGCTGGCAGAGCCCCACGAGGCTGCATCTCAGCCCATTAAACACTGGGTGCAGCAGGATTATTAAAAGGAGGTTGAATTTAACTTGTTCTAATGATAATAATAAAAAATAGCCGCCTCTTGTTACACCACCTCCGAATAACACGTGAGCGCGTACATCCAAGCGAGCTCAGGCTGGAACACAGAGCCAGGAAAAGCCCAACATGCAGCGATGCAGGCAAGAGGAAGGGGAGGACACCAACCCCGAGAGAGATGGGAGATTTACTGTGACTCACGGTCACATCACGCACCCCAAAGAGGCTGTGATGAAAGTCTCTCATTGCTTAAATTGGAGGGGTAATTAGATGATCCAGTTTCCCTCTAGCAAGGCTGTTAAAATCCACTGTCTAGTTTGGGTAATTATCACTTCTCACTTTGATCTCCCCTATATGTTCTGTTTGCATAGATAAAAAGTTTGGGGGTAATTTTTCCTTAGCCAAACGGGGCTGGGTGACGCAGAAGAGTGACCCGTGGCCGAAGGATGGAGCCGAGCTCCCGAGAGCCGCAGAAAGGGGTGCGGAGAGGTGTGCCAGCGGGATGAAGGCTGGCTCTCTTCTTCTTCACCCCTCTTGCATTAAGACTTTTTTTTCCACTTTTCCAAAACCCTCGAAAGTCCCTGGGCGTAAGCAGGGGGGATGCTGGAGGCCTGCGGGACCGCAGGCTCCCGCGTCTCTTGGCGCGGGGATGGTGCAGCCCTGGGACCTCTGATGGACAAGGAGAGGCACCAGCAAAGCTGCGGGGGTCTGGAGCTGGACCAGGGCCGTGCAATGCCTCCTTCAAAGGGCTGCTTGAGGTATGCCTGCCCGAAAGCAGCCAAAGCAAGAACCCAAGTGCTACCGAGGGCATCAATTCCCCCCATCTCCCTCCAAAGGGGATTTTTGTGGGGGCGGCGAGTCCCACAGAGCAGCTCACACATCAGGTGCACGCTGGCCGCAGCATGGCCAGCCTCACCATGCAGCAGAAAGTTTTCCCCTCCCCTCCATGTTACAACACGGGATGGTTTATCTAGTGCCAGGTAGTGTCTGATCTCCCTGTGCCCCAGCGTTATCACGCCGTGTATTTGCATTGGGACGGTGGCAATTCCCCTCAGCACAGGCTGCGGTGCGAGAACTCGTTTGTCTGGTACCTTCCTTCGCCCCAACCCGTCAGGCTTGTCATGCCTGCGAGGAGGCGGCAGCAACAAGTGTCCCAACAGAGGAGGTGCCATCGCTGGGATCCAGGGAA